CGGCGCGGAACCGGGCCCCAGGCCGTCCTGCGTGGGTGACGTCGGGCCAGCGCCTGAGGGCCGCGGTCCCGCGGGGGTGGCGTTTCTTCGGGGTGCCCGGAGCACAGCCCGCGCCTCTCTTTGTCACACCCCACGCCCAGCCCCCTGGCTGTCATCGAGGGGATCCCGCGGCCGGGCCCCTTTCGCAGGCGTCTCGCCCCCTGTGCTTGCCTTCCGCCTGGGGAGGGGCCGGAGGGCCCGTCTCTGCCTGCTGCTGACCCCAGCCCCCTCCGCCTGCCCCCCACGGGGTGCAGCACCCACCCGCTCGGGCGAGGCGAGCTCAGGGACACCCTGGACCGGGGGCTGGGCGGCTTCCCTCGCGAGACCTGCCGCGGCCCGCTGCTCGGCTGGCAGCCACTGGTTACTTCGGCTGCGCTGGTGCTTGTCCTTCCTGAGGTCACTTTTACACTTTCTCAGCAGTCGGTCAGTCGGTTGTTTCTGTGTCCTGCCCCCGGGTATGGGGGCAGCTGAAGCCTGGGATCTTGGAGTATGCTTTCCAGGGCGGACCTCCCCGCCCCGGCAGGGACTGCTGGTTTTCAGGTTATCTCCTTGTTGTGGAGTGGTCAGTGGAGCAGCCAGAGAACATGGAGGGGCTCCTGGACCTATCCGGAAGGCCAGCGCTGCCCTGTGCCCCCAGCACACCTGCAGTACTGTAGGCCAGCCAGGAGCTTCGGGTTGGGCACCAAGCCGGGTGGGGGCCCGGCCCAGCGGCAGGCTCAGGCTCTGGCCGTGAGGTGAGAGGACGCCTCTCCACTGTTGTTCTTGAGCTGCCCTCTTGAAGCAGTGTCTGGCCCTTGCCCTGCAAGGTGCCTGTGACCTCTGGTGCTTTCTGTCTGCCTCCTAACTGGGGGGCTTCTGTCCTGTCACTCAGCCCCAAGCCCCTCCCCTTGCTCTGCACACTGGCTCCGCCTCCCCTGCTGCCCCGCGTGGGACCCTGAAGAGGCCTGGTCAAGTGTGCGCCTGTTGCCTGGCCCTGCTTCCAGCTGTGCCTGGCTGCTGCTGCTGGCAATCCTCTTGACCCAGGGAGAAGTGGAAGTCAGGGAGGGGCAGAGCCGGCTTCTCCATTGGTTTCCTTCTGCCGGCCTTGCCTGGGATGAGAGCACCTCTTCACGGGCCCTGGTTTAGAAATCAGGAGGAGACAGCTCCAGACCCAATTGGAGTCCCATCTAGTTAGGGATTGGAGGCAGGAAGGGGCTCAGAGCTCGATGGGGGCCAGGTGGGGGGTTGGCTTCCTGTCCCTCCTGGGGCTCCCTGGTCCTGGGAGCCTGTTGTTTCCCTGGACAGGATAGAGCTGTCTGCTTGTGTGCTGCCAGGCCCTTCGTCCTTCAGCCACCATGGGCAGGGCCATCCCACAGAGCAGGGCCAGGACTGAGTCATTCTTGTCACCAGTCACCTGGGATCCTGCTCTGGACCTCCAGGGGCTTCAGCTGCTGAGTGGGCCTAAACGGGGGTGGGGGCAAGGAGCCCCTGATCTTGCAGAGAAGTTGTCCTCTGACAGGACAGCGCTGAAAGCTGGGCATCTGGGTGAGGGGCCTAGCCCCTTCACATCTGGCTGAGGATTGGGGGCTGGGCTGAGAGTCAGACCTGGCCAGAGCTGCTAGGTCCCCTTTCTGGAGCTGTAGATGGCAGTATGGCTGCCCCAGGGGACACAGCCTGGTGTCAAGTTAGAGCACAGTATAAAAAGTACTGTGGGCTTAGTGGATCCTAGGGGGATGTAGTGGGCTGCAACCAGAGTGAGGGTGGCTCACACACCTGGGAAGAGGAGGCAGAGCTGGGGCTTGGGGACAGGAGAGTGTTGACGCCTCAGTCTGGGCCCCTAGGTGGAAACATGGAGTCCCGAGGGCAGTGGGAGTGGGGCAGGCCCCAACCCAGCTGCCTGGTTCTGTGCAGGGTTGGGGGACTTCACCAGGGTCCAGATCTGCCCACTGGGAAACACCAGCAGCAGCCAGGCTGCGGGGGCTGGAGGGAGAACCCATGAAAGGTAGCTCACTGATAGCTGACCTTGGCTGCAAAGCCTGCCCCAGTGTAGGGGTGCTGGGGGCCAGGAGGAGGGTCTCCCACAGGAGCCTCACCCTTTCCTTCTCTTTCCAGTCCAGAACGACAGTGACCCGCAACTGGCGAGCCATGCACGATATGCGCCGGTACCGGCACCACTACCCGGTGGGTGCCCACAACCCTCTGCTGCCCCTGCACACCCTGGAGACATGAAAACCTCCCATCGGCCTCTTTTAGAATGTCTGCTGTCCTACTGGAATCACGTCTTGGGTGGGGATTCTGGAGTGTGTCCCTTGTCCAGAGCACAGGCCTGGTGTGGATTCAGATCCCTACCCTTCCCTTAATGATGGGGTTATCAGAATGCATTGCCCTACCTCTGAGCCCCTGCTCCCCAGCCTTTAAAACCATACCAGCACCAGGAATATAGCTCAGTGGCACAGCAGGCCTTCCTGGCAGGCACAGATCCTGAGTTCGATTCCCGGTACCAAAAAAAAGTACCAGCATCAGCCTCCTGACACGGGTGTTCAGGTCTGGTGGAATATTCTCTGTGTCAGGGCATCACCACGTGGTGTAGGGCCGTCTTTGGGGTGGGGTCCTCCTCAGCCCCTATTGTCTGTACCCACGAATCTCAGGCAACCCTTGGGCTTGCTTTGAGGTGCAGAGGAAGGAGAGCCCCCAGTCCTGGTCCACATTGGTGAGGAGGACAAGGTAGCACTGTCTTCCACGCCTGGCCTTGCCTGCAGTGAGGAGCCCAGGCTGGGCTTGTGGGGCTTGGGTCAGCTTCAGGAGACCCAGAGGTTTGCAGACACCTGCTCCCCAGAAGGTGGAGTCTGAGAGGCCCTCAGAGACAAGCTCTGTCTGATGAGTCCCTAATGATCCGCTTTGTCTGGCTCTTCAGGATTTGGTGGAACGAGACTCCAACGGTGACATGCCCAACTTGAGTTTCTACAAAAATGAGATCTGCTTCCTGCCTAATGGTAAATGCAGAAACAGCACCCTGAGCTGCGGGCAGTAACTTGGTTTGGGTTTCAGTAGCCTCGTAGTGTCCTCTGGGGGCGGCCAGGGGCATCAAGGTTTGGGTTAGGATCGGAGAACTCGGAGTACACTGGAGGCTTTTCTGCTCACGTTGCCTCTGTCAAACTGCCGAACTCTGCTGCTGCCTCAGAAAAGCAATGTATGCACACTGGTGAGCTACAAATGGTTTTTGCATGGTTTAAAAATAATATTTTGTGATATAAAAATGATGTGAAATTAAAATTCCAGTGCCAGTAAGGCTGTTGGCACCTGCCCACCCCCATCCACCTATGCAGCCTCTTTCTCACTGTAACAAGAAACAGACCGATGGCAGCAGGGACTGTGTGGCCCACACAGCTGAGAGCATCATCAGGCTTTTGTAGACACGGGGCCAACCTGTGTTCCAGAGTTGGGTTTTGCTGGGGTTCTGCTTGTGGAGAGTTCATGATTAACAGGCCACGTGCTGGTGACACCATGAGGGCCCCTTTGGCAGCAACGACTCTGAGTCTGCGACCCGCCACCTGGTCAGCAGCAGGGGTTCAGTTTGCAGATTGCAGAGGGGCCAAAGGCCTGGGCACCCAAATGTGATGCAGCAAATGAAGCACAGATAACCCTGCTGAGCCGTGAGGAACTTGCAGGGTGAAAGTGGGGATGAGGGGCACTTTGGCCACACTGTCCCCGAGCCCTTCAAGTGGCCTGTGTGGCTGACCTGTCCCTTTTGGCTCACAGGCTGTCGCGTTGAGGACATTCTTCAGAAGTGGAAGGACAACTATGAGCTGCTAGAGGACAATCACTCCTATATCCAGTGGTGAGGGACAGCGGTGGGTGGGGGAGCCCGGGGGAGGGGGCAGGGCCCTGGCGCGCTGTTTCCGGCTGCTCCCTGGTATGCACTGAGCACTTTTCCCTCCCGGGAAGCCAGGGTCCACACCACACATGCTGTCTACACCCCTGTGGGTGGGCATCACTGGGCACCGCAGGGTCTGGTGGCCACTAAGGAAAGACTCAGGCCTGCCCCAGAGTGTTAGCTCTGTAGAGTGCAGCAGCCATGCACTTAGGGCCGCAGGAAGGCCTGTGCGTGAGCCCTTGTGGAGGATGGGCCAGGCCTGCAGCCTCAGAGCAAGCCCTCGGAGCCCCAGGAGGCAGCTGGGGCTGGACTGTGCCTAACTTGGGCTTGGTGGGGTTCTAAGCAGGGCTTCAGTGAGACGCCCCACCAAACTGGGAGGTTGTGACCTGGCCGCAGAAGGGCCGTGTGCCTGGCTTTGAGGACAGCCTGCCAGGAGCTCACAGGGAACCTCTGGCATGGGGTGCATTGTGGGACTAATTCTGCACACCCATAGCCTGAGAGAAGGGTCATGAGAGGCGGAGAGCCCTGAGCGGGGTCACGAAGTCAGCTGCTGAGCATGCAGGCGGGGCTCCAGTGAGCCGTGCTGCACTGTCCTGGCCCCCAACTCCGACCCTCAGCCCTCAGCCCTCGGGAGGGCAGGGAGCTGCACTCGGCCACCAGCTCCTGAAGGGCCTGCCCGTCTGTGTCTGCACAGGCTGTTTCCTCTGCGGGAACCAGGAGTGAACTGGCATGCCAAGCCGCTCACACTCAAGGAGGTTGAGGTGAGTCCCCGCTTGGGCCAGGCTCGGAGGGTGGAGAGATTGGGGAAGCAGCCCTCCCTGCATCCCCTCCAATGCTGGCATCCAGTGCCACCTTGGGCTGCCGGATGGGGAGGGACACGGGAGCCTGAGATGCGCTGCTCTTCCCTCCAAAGTGACCCTCACCCCCCACGGTGTCCCTGCCGGCATCTGGAAATCTGTGGGGAGCTGGGCTCAGTGGTGGGAACAAGGGACAGGAAGGGCTTGGACAGTGAGCGAGGCCTGTGGTAGGTAGAGGGGGCTCACAGCAACAACAGCCTCACCGTGGCTCAGGGAACCCAGCTTTGGTACTGCAGCACTCAGAGGAAAGCGGGAAACGTGTTTACATGTCCCTTGTCATTTTATCCCCCCGAGACTGAAGCAGGACCCGGAGAGGCATTGGCTGACCCAGTGTCAGGGTGACCCTGACACTCCCAGGGACGATGGTCCAGGAACAGCTGCCTGAGCGCTGCTGGCGGGTGTTTTCCAGGCGTTCAAAAGCTCCAAGGAAGTCAGGGAGCGGCTCGTCCGGGCCTACGAGCTCATGCTTGGTTTCTACGGCATCCAGCTGGAGGACCGGGACACGGGTGCCGTGTGCCGGGCACAGAACTACCACAAGCGCTTCCAGAACCTGAACTGGTGAGGACCGGCTCTTTGCCCAGTGCCTCAGTGGTGCTGGTTTCCGGCAGGTGTATGGGGCACAGAGGGTGCCCAGTGCTGAGCAGCCTCCTCTGGGCCTGCCGAGTGGTGCGGTGCCCGCCTGGTTGGGTTTGGGGATTTGAAGGCAGTGAGTTCCTTACCTTGGAGGGGTCAGTTCTGTTGGGGAAGCATGCTGCAGTCAGCCTGGCCAGGGTGTCAGAACCTCCCCTGAGCCCCGCCCAGCCAGCACCTCCCTAGCTGGGGTCCTCTGACTTGTAGGCAGCTCCCCTCAGGCAGTGCACCGCACTCACAGCTCCAGGGCCCCAGCCCATGTTCCGTTCCAGGTGAGTCCTGCATCCCAGGACGCAGGGAGGTTTCTGGAGGCTCTGGGCCACAGCTACGGCTGAACTCGCACCCAGGGCCTCGGTTCACCGAATGCCCTCCCACAGGCGCAGCCACAATAACCTGCGCATCACGCGCATCCTCAAGTCGCTGGGCGAGCTTGGCCTGGAGCACTACCAGGCCCCGCTGGCACGCTTCTTCCTCGAGGAGACCCTGGTGCGGCATGAGCTGCCAGGCGTGCGCCAGAGTGCCCTGGACTACTTCCTGTTTGCTGTGCGCTGCCGGCACCAGCGCCGCGAGCTCGTGCATTTCGCCTGGCAGCACTTCCGGCCCCGCTGCAAGTTTGTGTGGGGGCCCCATGACAAGCTGCTGAAGTTCAAGCCTCGAACTATAGTCCAGCTGCTGGCGGGCCCTGGGCAGGTGGAGGGGGACAGGGTCCTGGAGGAGGACACCCTCCAGGAAGCCAGCACCCAGGGTCAGGCCTGCGGGCCAGAGAAGGACCAGGGAGGGGACAGTGTGTTGGCCGAGGGCCCCCAACCACTCAGTGAAAAGCTCCAGGACCCAGGAAACGTGGAGGGGGACCAGGAGGACCAGGCCGAACCCCCCAGCCCCAAAGAGAGCAAGAAGAGGAAATTGGAGGCCAACAGGCGGGAGCAGGCCTCAAGGGAGCCCGGCCCCCAGGGTGTGTCCGAGGTGGAAAAGATAGCCCTCAACCTGGAGGGATGTGCCCTCAGCCAGGGCAGCTGCGACGCCGGGGAGGCCGAGCAGCCCCGTCACCAGCCCCCAGCAGCCAGGGTGGCGGAGGAGGTGAGGAAGCGGCGGAAGGTGGAGGAGGATGCTGCGGGTGACGCGGTGGGGAGGACCAGGGTGCCACTGGAGCACCCACTGGAGCACCCTGAGGCCCAAAGCTGTGGGGATAGGGCCGAGGGGGACCCAGAAAGCCAGGCAGGACTGGAGCAGGATGCTCCTGGGAGTCCATCGGACGGGCCTGGGCCTGCCACCACAGGAACCTCAGAGGGTGAGACAGGGCAGGCGGCCCAGACAGAGCCTGTCAACCCTGCAGAGCCTTAAGGGATGGGGAGCTAGCGCCATCTTGGCCCTGCCAGCCCCACTGCGGGCGTCTGAGGCCTGGGCGCCCTGCTGCTGGCTCTTGGTGCCCAGCAGTGCTGGCCTCTCCCTGGTGGTCACTATAGTGGCCGCTGGAAGGACTGAGGCCCTGCCCTCAGGGAAGGCCAAGGCCTTCAGAGCCTCCTTACCTCACTGCACCCCCCCCGGCTCCCCCTCTGAGCCCCATGTTTGTAAGTATGGGGGGAGGCCTCGGCGGGAGGGGGTTCATTTTCTTAGGTGCCAAGCGAGGCCTTTTCTGAATAAACTCATTTGACTTTGAGACCTGGGGGCGTGGCCTGAGGTCCTGTTTGGTGCTCTGTGGAGCAGGTTTTGTGATGTGTTCCTGTCTGGGCTTTCTACCTCCCCCAAGTTCCAGGCGGCCTGGCCCGGCACCTGTTGGGGCGCAGTAACGGCACAGCCATCCCCAGCACACGCCCCTGGGTGTGGGCACTGCTCCCAGCATGCACATGGCTGCTTCTGTCACCTGCTCCAGAGTCGTCTGGGGACTGCTTTGTCCAGGGGGCCTGCGGTGCTGCAGATAGACCAGGGCTTTCCACTTGCTGTGACTTGGACAGCGGTGATGTCTGCGCTCAGCCGCCCTGCTCCCAGCCCTGCACCCTGCGGTCTCCCCAGGGCTCCTGACCCTGGGGGTGTGGGCCTCCTCCCGCCAGCCCCTCCCCACTCCTCCACATCACTGGGCTGAGGCGTTCGTGGGGCTTCTGAGGGGGACTGCCAACTCGAGTCCCCCAAGGGACCACAAATGCCTTTGGGCAGAGTGGTGGAGGTGGAACACAGCTGGCCCAGCACCCTGACCCCCGAGGTTGTGGGACCCCAGCGCCTCAACTCTGGTTTGACCCAGTGATGGAGTTTTCAGCATGAGGGGGAAACTGAGGCACTGAGTGATGCAGAGCATCACTTTGGTGAGGTCCCTCTGCCCTTGGGTGCTCAGGGGCTCGAGTTGGATGGGGAATCCCACTCCTGCTCTGAGAGGGGGCGGCCCAGCGCTGAGCCAGAGGATGGCAGGGGTCTGGCCCACCTGCCCCTAAGCTTTGAGGACAGCAGTGTCCCCAGACAGGAGGGACCTGCTCAAGGTGGGTCCCAGAGATGCTGGGGTTTTGACAGGTGGGTGAGGCCAGCACCCTCCCTGCCCCCGCCAGCCCAGCCAAGGGTTGCGAAGAGGTAGGAGTGGCCTTGTGACAGGGCTGAAGGCCAAGCTGGGGGAGGTCGAGTGGAGCACAGGTGCTGGACCACTGCCCTCACCTGAGATGAAGGCTGCTGTGCTTCCTGAGTCCCACCCATCGGTGCCCTGGTTAGCTGCATCCGGGCAGTGAGTGCGTGCACTGTGGGTCGGGGCAGGGTGGGGAAGCAGGAGCCTGAGCAAGGGGTGGCCTCACCCTTGCTTTCTCAGAAATAGCACCTTGTTCCCAAGGCCTGGGACTGGGGGGACTGCTCTGATCCCCTCATCCCCGCTCCTGTGGCCGGATACATGCCACCCTTGTCATGTGACCTGTCTCAGACTCTGCGGAGGGCCGGACCGCATACTCTCCCCAGCCCTCCCGAGGTAATCTCCAGCAGCCAGGGGCTGAGAGCAGCTGCCTGCCTTGTTCTGTGGTGGAGAAGGATCTCTTTCCAGTTACCGCTCCTGGGCAGAGGTAGAGTGACACGTTTTCACCTGTGGCCCCTTTACCCCTCTCCTTTCTGTCCACTCCTTGTTAACTCCTGCTGTCTCTGAAGTCAGTTCTGCCTTCAGAGTTGAAGCCCCAATCAAAGGCTGTAAGTCCTAAGGTAGCATTTCCTGGGAGTGCCAAAGATTCCCGGAGGCAGCCAGGACCTGCCAGTGTAGTGAACCTTGTAAGCAGCTTGGTCCTTGAGCAGTGCCTGGGCACTGTCACCTTGGGGTCCTGCCACATGGCCCTAAGTTTCCTGTTCAGCCTATAACCCCCGCCCTGGGGAGACTGAGGTAGAAGGGTTGTGAGTTCAAGGCCAGCGTGGATTGCATACCTAGACCCATCTCGAACTCCATTAGCCCCTAAAGAGTCGTGTTCACGAGAGGGTCCCTTCTGCTCGGACCCTGGTGCTGCTTCCCTCTCACGCATGGTCACTGTTTTGCCCTCTTGTGGGACAGGAGTGCCAGACAAGAGTGGCTTTCCAGGTGGCTGCCCCAGACATCCCTCAGGACAGCCCAGGCTTAGGGTAGAGGGCCATGGGGCTCTTGGCCGGGAGCCGTGGACTTTCCTGGTCTCAAGGCGAGGCTATGTTGGGTGCCCTGTGCCCCCAACTGGCACATTCACCCCTGAGGTCCTCATGGGACTTGGGCAGCCTGGTGGCTCCTTGCTCCCTTCTTTTTTTCCAGTTTCAACAGGAGATTCTATTTATTGATCCCCTGAAAGCAAAATCCAGAAAATAGCAACTCACTGCAAGAATAGTGCTATAACATCCTCAGTCGTCCTCTCCTTCCGTAAGGTGTGCTCTCCCGCATGCACCATCGGGCCAGACTGACACAGCGAGACCTGAACGGCAGGCGGCACCTGTGCACGCGCCATCAGCTGCCTTGCCCTGGCAGGAAAGGACGCCTTCTCTGCAGGTTTCCCCCTTTCACAGAAATTTATCACACACAAAAAAATTTATAGCAAAATGTAACCCCCTGAACTTTATAGTTATCTACTAGAAAGGTACAGATTTGTTTTTGTTTTTGTTTCTTTTATTTTTATTTTAAAGAGTAAAAGAGGGGCTGGGGATTTAGCTCAGCGGCACAGCACCTGCCTGGCAAGCGCAAGGTTGTGAGTTTGATTCCCCGTACCAGAGAAAAACCAAAAAAAATAAAAAAGATAAAATAACGACTAAAAGGACAGCATAGCAATAGGGGGATTCACTGAATTACAGACAGAGTGGTAGGACATTATCAATGGTTGTTATTTTACCTATTGGTATCTTCAAGATAGTTTCTCAGGAAAACAAATAGACAAATAATAGTGAGTTACAGACAAAAATGGCAGGAAGTTATCGATGGTTGCGGTACTATATCTTGGTTTCTCCAAAGTGTTCTCTAGGGAAAACAAATTGAGCTATAAAGGAGTGATCAATCAAATAATCATTGACTATTCTCAATGGTTGTTGTTGAAAACACATAGTAATGAACACACTAGGAAGGTACAGATTTGAAAAGTTCTCCTCTCCAGCTGTGATCAAAACACTGAATGTTAAAGAATATCTTAGTTACTCCGAATTCCTGGGCTACATACTTAGATATTTACAGAAGAGGGTGAATTTCAAGTTCCTCAGAAGAGAGATTCAATTAAGACAGCTATTGCTGGGCGTGGTGGTGCACGCCTGTAATCCCAGCGCTCAGGAGGCTGAGGCAGGAGGATCGTTGCAAGTTCGAGACCAGCCTGGGCTACAAAGTGAGCTCAAGGCCAGCCTGAACTGCATAGTGAGACCCTGTCTCAAAAAGACAAAAACAAACAAAAAACAAAAAGACAGCTACCAAAGTTGATAGTCATTCTGTAATGGAGCAAGGTTGATCATCACCCCTGTAGAGATCCAACAAGGTTTGAATCTCAAATACAGAATAACTCTCAAGGAGAACCAGCCAGCAGCACAGAGGGCCAAGATGTACGAACAGGAAAGAGCGCTGGTGAAAGCAGAGTAGAGAATCCCAAGAAAAGTTTAGTGCCACTTCCACTTAATAAGCCAGAAGTGCAGCACCCTGGAGACCCGGGCTGTTATCCCACCACGATGTTGTATGGAACCGCTGTATGAGAACGTGACGGCAGCTGGCATCCCTGGCTCACTGTGCCAGGCGAGGAGCTGCAGCCTCAGCTTCTCAGAGAGCTCCAGGGCTGGGGAGTGCAGCAGAGGGATTTCTTGCCAGATGGGAGTTCTTTGAAGACTCCTTTAGGGAAAGGTTTTTGGGCTTTTTCTTCAGGGATGGCTGGAGGAGCATCACACTGTCTCTATCCTTCCAGTCAGCCGGCGTGGAAACCCTTTCCTCCACTGTCAGCTGGAGAGAGAGACAGTCACTGCTCTGAGGATCTCCTCGAATTTCTGCCATTGAAGTTGGATAGAGGATGGATGGCTTCAGCTTCTTGTCAGGACCAAAAGCAAATCCCACGCAAGCTGTCACAGCCATGTCCTTTTTCTCCTTTCTGCTGGGTCAGGGCGCCCATGAGGATGGCGAGGCCCTGGTCCTCATCCTCAGTGATGGGGGAAAACTGCTGTGGGCTCATCACCGTCGTAAGCGCTGCTGTCCTTGCTGAGGCAGATGGGCCTCACCCCTGTCTCCTGAAAGGCGACACCCCCTTGGCGAGCTCGCGTGCCTGCTTCGCCGCTCTGCCAGGCTCTGTGGTGCACACGAGGGGACGTCCATGCGTGGGGGAAGAGGTGCTCTGTGGGTCTCAGAGAGTCGTGGAGACCAGTCGTGGACACCAGTGGGGCGATGGTGGCGTTGGCCTCAAAGTTGGGAGCCTGGCGGTGGAGAAGGAGCCCTCTAGGCCTGGCAGCCGAGAGGCGCCGCACAGCAGCTGATTCAGTACCTCCCCTCTTCTTAGAAGCTACCCTTCACCGCGGGGTTCTTCCCGGTCACACTCGGCAGAGCAGCAGGGGAGAAAGGAGTCTTTCTTGTACTCTGAAAGGTGTGTGTGTACAACGGGCCGGTCCCAGGATAATTTTAACTCACAGGCGGGACAGCCCCCCTTCTTTCTTCCCTGCCGGCACAGGGCCCCAGCCCGCCCCCAGGTGGGCCCGGCTGAATGAGGGGCTTGTGTGCGAGGGGCGGGCCGGCCGGATGCCCAGCCTGCGCACCGCCCACCGCCCGCCGCCGCTGCCTGCCCGGCTCCCCGCGCCGGCGCTGCTCAGTGCCCGCCAGCCATGGCCCAAGTGCACACGCTCGCCCTGCTCCTGCTGGGGCAGCTCCTGGCAGCCGCCGTGGCACAGGTGAGCGTGGCTCTGCGGGAGAGGGGCGGCTGCACATAGGGTCCGGCAGTCCCAGTCAAGGGCGCCCTCAGCCTCCAGGCCAGCTGCTGCGCACCCTCAGGACCCTCGGGGATACCCGGCAGCCGTCGCTGGCCGAGTCCAGTCGTCTGGCGGAGGCCCCACAGACGACGCCTGGACGCGTCGGGGCGATCCCATCCTCACCCAGGCCCCTGCAGCCTGGATGCACAATGTCTTCTTTGTTGCGGGGGCTCCCAGGGGCCACAGCACAGCCAGTCCCGCCAGGGTGAGGGCTGTTGCCCCCACGGGTGCCGGCTTCTAGGACTGAGGCTCAGGTCCCCAGGCAGGTGGAG